TCGTTCGAAGCAGTCGACCAACCAGTCCTCGACGTCTTCGAGCTCGGTGCCATGAAACGGTGTCGGAACCTGTGGACTTTCGAGGGTGTACCGAGTCACCGGGGGGTTTTCCGTACCTGTTAAAATGGTTTGAACGGACATACTCATCCTACTGGTGTGAAGTCTAGGGTCAGCTTCGGGTGGCAATCCCCTGATTCTGCGGCTTGTCCGATGAACGTGATTGGGCTTGTGGTGCCGCTTCCAGGAGGGGTCTGAAACATCCGTGAGCGGCTACCCAGCACCCCCACCAATTGTCACGTCGCTCCAGGGGGTGTAGAGAAGGTTTATTGACGTCTGATCCACAGGGCTCTAACCAAGCGCGTCGGTTGGGCTTGTTTTCCAGAGCGTGGGGGAGTTACACGCACTTCTTTCTTCTCTGTGGTGTGAGCCTTCATCTTGGCATACGACCCACTACTAGAAGTAGCTGGCAGTATGTAAGGTGGCCAGTTTTTCTAACACAAATTCTCTGCCATTTTTTATGAGGTCCGTTGTTACCTTACCTTCGCCAGCGACTTTGCCTCTTTAGATTCCTTCTAGAGATTTCCTTACTTCACCTGTCTTTACTGCTAAGATGTCGAATTCCTCTGGACAATTATTGTTTCTCACAATATCATGCTGGTTGTTTTGACTTCGGTACAGCTTTCTGTAGAACTCCTCCGCCACCTCGACTATCCTATCCATATTGGTTATGTCATTGCCTTCCTTCTTCCTTAATGAATACATCCCATTTTTGCCCGTGCACAAGTTTGCCTTTGCAGCTTTTAGGCTTATGCTGCTTTTTACAGTCTGCTCAATTTCCTCCATGTTATACCTTCTGACGTCAGCTACCCTACGCCTATTGATTAACTTCGAAAGCTCCACTAGCTCTATTTTGTGAGTAACATTTGAGGCTTTCATGGTTTGTCGTCTCTTATTAAGATTTTTTTTTGTAATGCTTTAGCTTAAATGCTGACAAAACTTCAAAAAACCATTTCAGGGTCCCTTAAGGGGGGGACAGGGGACACTGGCTAAATCTTTTTAGTTCTTTATCAAACTTAATGAAACTCACCGAGTTTATGTACATCTGCTTGTTGATTTCTAATATGCATTTTTTCTTCAGTGCAATATGTAGTTTTTAAATTTCATGGGACATTTCGGAAGCCATACTTGACCTAAACTGAATGAGTGACAAAGTAAATGAAGCAAAACTGCAATTCGGCCTAATTGGAACACATACATTCTGAAAATTTTTGCACAAGCACACAACACACAAGAGAACACAAACGGGCGTTCTAACAAGTGGTTTATTTTTCGAAAAACATTCACTTTGTACAACTTAGATTTGTGCTGTCTGATCACCAAAAAACAAATGCACTGCGTACATATCACAAACAACGATAACAAGTTAATTGAATAACAGACAAGAGCAAAATTTCTTTTGCTAGTAAGGCTACCAAGGGTGGCTAACAGACTTTTACTTGTCTATGAGATAGGCCTCTGTTTTTTGGTGACCACAGAGCGCAGATCCGAGGATTACTGAAGTGAATGTTTTTCGAGAAATAAACCAGTTGTTAGATTGCACCCATTTGTGTTCTCTTCTGTGTCCCTGTGTGCTTGTGCAAGAATTTTCAAAAAATTAATGAGCGTATCAGCATGTCCTGGAATGAGTTCAGAGTGCTAGAAAAATCCCTGCTTGAGATAGACTCTACAGGAAACATTCAACCTACCATTAGTTCAGTTCAAATAAGTTTAGAACATTAATTCTTGTTTTCTTGCATTTTGCACTCATTCCAGGTCATTCTAATGAGCTTAATGACTTTGTAATACCTTTAGTTTAGACAAACTATGGCTCCCAAAAAGCACACAAAATGCCTGATATTTATACATAACACTACATAATAATAGTGTATGTAAAATCGACATTGAAGTATCCATAAATTGTTGAAGTATCCATAAACGGGTTGCCTGTTGACTGTACTGGTCCTAACAGAGTGCTTACTGGTATTCTGTGCTGGTTCCAGCAGGTTACTAGTGCTCTCCTGAGATGCTGCTGGAACCAGTAGGTAACTTGCTGGTTTTCAGTTGGCTTGACCCAGTTCTGGCAGAGAATGCACCAGTGACAACATAGCATCGCGTGCACTCATAATTAAATCCGCCAAGGTGATAGAGCAGGCTAGTTGGTTGTGATAGCTGGCATTAACTTCTGCAATAGAGCGAAAAATATGAGACAGCCATCTTTCTCTATCGTGTAGCCATGTCATTATTTATTTACTTTTTCTGCACTATAGAAATGAATGCCACTCATTACTGAAGACGATTTAGAATGATTGCCACCTGTTGTACATTGTGCACGTTTTATCTTGATCTCAAGCGCTCCGTATGTATGTCTAAGTGCTAAAATATATACATCGCTGCAAAAGAACACACTTTTATTCGAGCTTTAAGAACCTTGAATAAGCAGAACACTGGATCCAGTACCCTGTTGGCACACAAATTTTTCTAATTTAGACGTACAATTTAGGTTTGGTCATACTGAGCAAACAATTATGCGGTTGATTCCCCCCGGAAAGAACACTTTTGTTCAGAATATTCAGCAATCACGGCCACGATCGGACGACAGTGAACTTTGCTAGCTTGCTCTCGTCTGCTATGACGCTGCTAGAGAGACTAACACGGCCATAAAGAATGTCGCATTGTCACTTCTCGTACGGTGCCCAGCATTGCAAAGCATTGAATTTGCCGTCATTCACGTTAACTCCCGAGTAGCGTTAGTTGCGTATTTATTCTTGACGATTTTTCAAACTAATGCTGAATAGTAATCTACTTAATAATACAAATACTGCTCGATAAAAAAGCTGTATCACTTATTTACAGGTAACAGCAAAATAAATAGTAGTCTAATATAACGTATAAATTATCATGACGTCTTAGCGCTATAGTTTAGTACAACACATGTTGTGTTCTGGTCGAACTTGTCATGACTTGTCACTTAATCAGTTGCATCTGTGTGTTTTGAACTTCGGTGTGTTAGTAGAAAGTTTCCTCTGGAATCTGCGTGACATTAACATGAAATAGTTTATTTCATTTTGGGTCAGTTTCATCTGTGGAAATTGTAACAAAAGAATATCAGCCTATATGAGCTTTTTTTGGTACTGTGCTATGCAGTGTCTTGATTTCGTGAGTGCAGATCGAGATCTACCGTTTTTTCAGCCCTCAATATTCAATACAGGTAAGTTGCATTATTTATTTCAAATATAAGTAAACCGTGCACATCCCAAATGTTTCTGTGCTTTATTAAGCTCACTATAATTATACATAATGTACGCGATGTTAATGAATCCACGATGCAATGCCGGTTGGTGTAAGCCATGTTCCTTAGTCTCCGTGTAATGAAGTAGTATAAACACAGTGCTTAATTCTAGTTTGCTCGGTGAAATAATGACGTTGTAGAGATGCAAAAGTTAATTTGCTTGATATGTATGTCCTCGAGCGCACTGCTTCCCGCAAATGGGCGCTGAGTGCACTTTTAGAGACAATAGTCTTTCTTGGGGACCTTCCACGCAAAAACTTTGATCTGTCTATATGTCTGTCTGTATGTACATTTGTCTGTCCGCCGTTACCACAAACCGGGTACTCTAAATAGCACCAGCCGATACCCTGAACGGCCGACCCCATTCGCAGCACCCACCAATGTTTCTCAAGGATCAGTGTTCATACGTAAGTGATTGTCAATTAAAAAGCAATTATTGCGCAAATCTGAGGCACCTTAACAACACATATATATTCTGCATGTTCGTCTTTTACTAGGAAAGGCATACATGTGTAATTTTAAGGACCGTAGCACTTATCACGCTGCGCTAACCATGTAACGCTTGCACGAAGAAGAGAGTGTTTCCAACGCTTTGCTACGACGACACGGTGATGGCACCTACTCGTCACCTTGCGTTCTACACCTTATCACCTCTGAGACGGGCGTGCACGCCCCTCTTAGGGCCACGCACTTTGTTTTCCAAAAAGAAGTGCCAGATGACGCTCATGTCTCACGTGTGACATGACTTAATGCGCTCGTTCGCCTCAGTTGTACGCTCGGGGCACTCTAACGCAGCGCCTCCGGAATACCATCAGAACATCAAATAATTGTTTTGTTCACTCTCTCCACACGCAAGACTATCGTCTTTCGATGACATTTGCAGATTACATGCCTATACTGAGCCAATTTTTTTTAAATTGATAGTTGCGAAATTGAGTCATGAAATCTTTTATTTTGTAATAGATTGCCTGTATCACTGGGTTGCCTTTGACAATACAGACACCTGTAATGTAGATCAAGGCCCCTACGGATTTTCATTCGGAACAATTCAATACATCGAGCGCAAGCCTAAGCTGGCAAATTATGTATTTTGTGTACAACAGGTTTTTTAATAAAGTATCATCATTATTGCTTTGGATCGATAATTGTGTGTACTTAGCGGACTTTTGAAACAGCCGCACCTTTAAAACTACATGCTGTTGAAGGAAACAAAATCTGCACATTGGTACCACTCCAACTCAAAGTATTACCAAAACCAAATGTGACTATTGTTCAGCTGTAAAGGGACTCACTTCCAGTCATAAATATGACATGGATTTCAACTGCTTTGAGCTGCAATGAAATTGAGGCTGACAATATGCAGCTCAAGCTCAGCTTATTACCAGCTTGTTGCTTCGTGGTGTGCTCTATGTTGGCGAGTTCCAGTTTGGCCGACTGCTCGCAACACTGCGCTGGAACTAACAGCGACTGGTTCCATCAACTGCTGGTTTCATAAGCTGCTGCTTTCATCACCTGTTGGGAATGTGCTAATGAACTAGCACTGCTGGAACCAGTAGCCAAGCAGCAGAAAATTTTCACCTGGGAGGTTTTACAAATTTTGCTACGGTTCCCTCCTACATTCATGTTAGAAAAATGAGCCATGTAAAGATATTTAGCATGCAAAGTAACTCACACAGCGGACTCTTCCCCAACAACAAAGAGGCCATTCCAGTGAGGAGACAACGCCATCTGCCGGACAGGGCTCCTTACAAAAGCTGATACGGGCACCAGGCCTGCATGAAAAGAAAGAGCGCTTTTGCAGAATCTGTTCTGGCTTCAGCATACACACGCAGTAGCAAGAGCACCCGACTTCTTTTCTCTAGTTGGCCAAGGGCTGCACATCTACAGGTAGGGTTCGTACAAGTTTTAAGGAAAAAAATACAATGATATTCGAGAAACTTCAATGGCCTGTCACACCTTTTTAAGGACCAAGAAACAGCAACGAAACGAGGATTTTTTTTTTTATGATAACATGTCTCACTTTGTGACTAAATTCGTCCCACTTATACATATATGTTAAAACTTGATTTAATGGAATCTCACCATCCTCAATTATACCGTTAAATCGGGAAGTTTGTAAAATCTAGAAAGGAGTTTTCATTCAGGATATATAAATATTCTAAATTTTGAATATTTTCAGAATAGTATTTGCTGTTTTCTTAGATTCGCACCGGAGTTTTACTAATCAAGCTATCTGAATGCCCTGAGGACAAACACAGCCAAACATAGAAAATTTTTAGTATTCTAAATCTCAAATGTTCTTACATATTGACGTCCACAAGGCATGTTTGGAACTCTGGGCTTGAAGGGAGTGCATGCTTGTCCACCACATCATTCAAGCTACCACAAAAGTCATAAGAGGAGGAGATGCTGAGGCAATAGCATTTTTGCCTTTCACATGTAAAGTGTTGTCAGGAACACTTTGTTGTGCACCTAATCCTGTACGTAAGTACAATATGAAACACCAACCTGCCTTCGCTTCATCAACCCAGCCAAAAGGAACACTTTCATGTTGCTATCTGATGAGAATATGCTTAGAGATCCTCCTCAAAATTTTTTTCTGCAATTCTGCTTCAAAGTGTCAAAAAAAAGTATATTTGAGAAATATGCAAAGAGTCACAGCTTTCCCGCAAAAGCGAAACAATGAACGCGATAGCAATAAATTGGAAGGCCACGTGCAGAATGGCAAGCAGATCGAAACAAGGCCCGCGTTTCTCACGCACAAATGACGCATGAAATGTACTCACAGGTACAAATGAACGCGAATAAGCGTCTCAGTTGTTAGTTTGCTGTGTCTGAAAAGCGCACTTTTTTCGCAAACGAAGGCTGCGCGCACAACCATTGCAGTGACCTTTGTGCTCCCCGTAACTACAACAGAATCATTCCAGTGCAAGCCTGACGCCAGCCAAGACATATGATTCTCCCCACCAGGATATAAGGGCGCGCAAGGAATCGTCCACTCCCCTCCTCTCCGCAGGCCAAAGTTCGTGTGAGAAATGAGAGCTGCCGTTAAGGCCCCTGTATTTTTCAAAGGTAGCGCAAACCGTTGTACAAAAAGCGGAGGAGAATTTCCTCCCCGTCCTCTACGTCTCTCCTCACTCCGGCGTGCGTTTCTGCTACCCTATTGGACCAGGCGCGACACGTGACCAATGAACCCTGTTGACCCCTCGGCTTCGCCGGGCAGCGACGCCATGAGTGAGCGCACTGCATCTCGCTCCCACGTGTATTGCCTTTAGCAAGGCGGCCTCGGATGCAGCGCAATGCCGACCTGCTGTGCCGTTGGCTGCTCCAGCAGCATTGCAAAAGATGACAAGCTTTTTGTGATTCCACGAGGGAAAAACAATGAGGAGCAGAGAGCGGTATGGCTGCATCGCATCGGCAGTAAAAACTTCGATTGTCACCGAAGGAGGCTTTGCGAGGTAAGCACTCACTACAGAACTTCCTCGCGTAGACATGCCTCCGGAAGGCTTTCAGATAAAGCTCATCCTTGGTTCAGGTTCATGTTAAACAAAAGCAGCTTGAAGTTTCCGCCGACGCTTTCTCGCACGATTTCAACCACGATGACAGCTCAATCCTTTTTAGCTTGCTCGAATATTCGAATACGGCCACAACATAATTACTGTTGAATGTTTGGCATTCCCGTTTCGCTTTCTAAATGGAACCATTTGCAGCGGAAGCAATTATGCTTCTCCAGAGATCAACCACATCTTTGATCGTTTTTCCTTTTTTTTTTTCGCTCGAACTTTGATTACCTGTAGGCAAAATTTCGGCGTTTATTGTGGTTTATTATGTTCTCAGTTTGTATTCTTTCATATTTATCTCACGTTCGCGCACTTCCATGACCGAATTTTGTGCATGTGTGTACAGCTAATATAAGAGAGTGTATGGTAAATATAATGTTGTATAGTTGTTTATTTGTGAAATCCATAGATACTTTCGTTCAAATTTCGAACATACTTGCGAAGTTGTACACTTTCGATTAACAAAGAGAAAGGCACCTACTAAATGCAAGAAAATCATCTGGCTTTTGTGGCTGTTTGCATTTTTAACGTAAGAAGCAAAATATTTTGCTTCGGCAATATCACATCAGTCAAACTGCAAAAATGCGATAGAGGATGTCGGTATTTTTCAGAAACACTTCACGATGGATCAGTATGAGCCAGCAATTCTGGCACAAACTGGGATCTAGAAACTCAAGCCAAATGCGGTTCCTTCTATATTTGCGCATCGGCCTATTCCGAAAGAGCGCAAGCCACCCCGCAAAAGGGGGAATGAAACGGTTCCTGGTGAGGCCCCTTTGTAGTTTCTATTCCTCTCTTGTGTTGTGAATGCGATTATGTTTTGGGGTTTATATGACAATACAGTGTGTTTGGATTACTGGCAGATAGCATAGTTGCTGCATTTATCTTTATGACCTGTGAACCTGATTAATTCGGCATCCCATTCTGTCTTACTGTGGCAGCAAACATCCCCACCCCTACACTGTACTTGCTCAACTCTTGCTTACAGCTGTATCCTTGGATGAGCCAGAAACGTCAGTGGGGAGGGCCCCGGACGCTGAACCAGTGGGCAGTTTATTTTGTGAGTTGACTGCGCTGTGATGACAAATGTTCGCACCTTTAGACTGTGTACTTACGCAATTCATGCTTACAGCTGCCTCCTCGGACAACACAGCAACGTCAATAGACCGCGACCCTGAACCAGTGGGCAGCCCATTTTGTGAGTTAACTGCATTGTGATGGCAAATGTTCACGCCTCTAGCCTCTGTATTTATAATTCATGCTTACAGCTGCCTCCTGGCAGCTCTAAGCATGAATTGCATCATGCATCAAATCAGAGGCTATCTCTGATCAGAAGCATCAAATCAGAGGCTATCTGATTTGATAGCGAAATTGTTTCGCCCTGTCGCCGCTCTACTGGAATGTTTTGCAGCGTTCGTGATCATTCGATGCTTCCCGCATTTTATTTGCGCACTCAATAAAATCTACCTTCATCCCACTAAACGTTTGTGGTATTTTATGGAGGAATCGTTTACACACGTCCCATTATGGAAGCACGCATGCATGTCCCGAATTTCAGTAGGGCTCTGTTGTTCCTGTACAAACTCGAGCTCTAAGAGCACTCATATTAACTTTTCAACGTAAGGCCCCTAGGGGCCTTACTTCAACGCGCCGCGCGACAAAACGAAACCGTCCGGCGGCGCGCTCCGCGTGAGTCGCTCCTTCATGGCGGCTGAGAGTGGCGGGTGAGGAGGAAACGGCGCGGAGAAGGGAGTTTGCGCTACCTTTGAAAAATACAGGGGCCTTAGCTGCCGTGTGCTCATTGCGCCATCTTGCTGATAATGCTGAAAACACGATAGTTTCCCCCGAAATGCCCGCCAACAGCAGTAAGTAGTAGCAGAGTCATTTATTGCCGTTCTGGTCGCGAAACTTCTCCATCACTCTATGGGAGAGCTTGATATGCTGCCAAGAGCGGCCGCTACGTGGCGCAAGCTGGGATAGGGGGCCATCGCTCCGTTGCGCCTGGCCATTGCCCGGCAGAATGCATTGGCAGAGGCGGAAGCTCGAAGGCGTTGTGTAAAGGCAGCTCGCGGTATTCCTTTGAACAAAGTTGCTGCATCAGCGTCACGAGAACTTCAAGGGCCAGTGCTCCCTTTTCAAAGTCGACGGCATGAAAATTGGAAGGAGCAATACCTAAGACGTGCTGTGTGATGGGCTGCAGCTCCGGATCCAGGAGCAACAAGGAAAAGGCACCGCTCTTCTGTTTCCCCAGTAGCGCCGAACTTCGGGAGAAATCGCTCCTCATTGAGAACTTGCTCCTCATTAAATGCACCTGATGGGAAGCTTCCATTCATAGGTACACACCTAAATACTAAGCGGCGTATCATTAGTACTAAATTTCAGTTTCATTGTATGCTTTAAATCATAACCCCCTCCCCCAAGCATAAAAAAAAGTATGATATGGTACCTAGGTAGTGTGGCAAAGGTTGCCGAGCAGCTAGCACTAGCATCGAAAGGAACTTCCAGATTAGGCTGCTGTACTTCTCTTCCCGAAGAAATCGTGGGTTGTCGACCGGTAATTAATGCTGCTCTAAGCAGTAAACATAAGGAAATGTCAAGATACGGGTGTCTCAACTAAATTGTGTCTAAAAAAGGGATCAATCAAATGTTAGGCAAGTTAAACTCGTGCCTATTCAAGAAGCACCCTTAATACCGAAGCGAGCGGTCGCAAAAGCGCGGAGCTGCTATAACCGCGACATCGAAAGTACCCGCGTCAAGAAAGCGATCGGCGCTCACAAACGTGTGTCCAGAACAACTGCGCATTTGGGTGCAGACTCAATTGAAAGGTCTAGAATAAAAAATTGCCCGCAGCTTCCCTCGGGGGAACACTGAGGAGGACGCGGAGCATATAATTGGTTAACGGGGTGTTAAAGTGCGACTTACTTGGGTCGATGGCTAAATTGGTTAACGTGGTTGTGAAATGGGGTGTTAAATTGCGACTTACTTGGGTCGCTGGCTAAATTGGTTAACGTGGTTGTAGGAGGGGTGTTAAATGAGTGAACACGTACGACACGTATGCGAAAGGGCGGTGCTTATTTATTGCGACGAACTTTGAGCACGATGGCTTTTTGGTCGGTAAAGTGAAGAGTGAGTGGATCGGGTTGCAGCGGTCGTAGGTCGAAATTTGCAAAGACGTGGTCGATGCAGGTTCCGCGAATGGTGGTCGGCTGGTGGTGTTTGCAGTCGTCGTGCGTTGCGCGTTCCAGCGAGTCTCGCGACGCCATGTATTTGACTATCCAATCGTCCTTGATGACGTCGACGTTGAAGTCGCCAACTAGCATGAACGGTCGATGTTGCGGTTGTTGTTTTCTGTTCTCTTGCACGGCCTCGTCGACGTACTTTTGTACGGCGGCACGAGAGAGGTTTGGCGCGAGGTACATCGTCATGACGTCGACGCCACAGACGGTAGCAACGCAGTGCTCGTCGTTGGCGCGTTGTTGAACGCCGGGCTGTAGTCGGAGGTCAATGAAGTAGTCGTCGTCGTTGTCGACGTCACGCTTGACGTAAATTCCCACACCGCCCGCAGGTCGTTGGAACCCGTGCGTGCGCGCGACCGAAGCGTACCCCGCAACGTCGACGTTATTGGCGTTCCACGTCTCGGTGAAGCAACCGACGAGCGGCAACTGAGCGAGCGAGCACCGACATTGAGTATATATACAGCGCGACGGCGCATGCACTGTCAGCTGTCGAATGTTCGAGAAGGGGGAGAAGCGCAACGGCGCATGCGCGCGCGTCAGCTGCCGATGTTCTCGATGCGCGACGGCGCATGCGCGCGCGTCAGCTGCCGATGTTCTCGAAGCGTGACGGCGCATGCGCGCTACATTATACAGCTAGCGAATGTTCGTGAAGAGGAGAAGCGCACGCGGTGTGTAGAGGAGGAAGGGTGCACAGATGGTGGAGGAGTGAAGCGCGCGCGGTGTGTAGAGGAGGAAGGGATGCACAGATGGTGGAAGAAGGAGGAGGAAGCTTGCGGACGGCGCCGCACTACAAGCCTCGAGTATTAGATGCTCCGCATCTAAAACATCTAGCTCGACCATTCCCTTCATTCGATTACTTGGGTAGAGTGCGTGAGAGACGAGCCAGATATAAACCAAATGCGATAGCCCCTGTCTTACCTAGTCATGTTTCATTTTGTTCACTTTTCTCCCCATATTTGTGACACTGCTAAAATAGAAAGCTTTACTACCACCGCATAAACAGAATCGCCCTTTGAACAGGCGCGAACACATTATCGAGCAGATCCAGCAGTAGCTGCTCGCATCTTGCATCGGGAGCTCGGAGCATGAGCATCGTCTTTAAACACTGGCGAGCAACGAGGTACCGCTTTAAGGCATCGTAAGTACGCATATAACTGGGCTGTGAGGTAATTCTTAACACAATACGTTATCGTGCGGTATTAAAACACTTTAAACGCGCTGCTATTCATAAGGTTGGTCCGCACTCCCAAGCAAACTACGCGAAGCTTCTTAGGTAAACAGCTTTCATTCGTCGTCGACACTGGATCACATTTATACTGACCTAATGGCATTGCAGCGTTCAGTGACGTTTAATAAAAGGTAACAGGAAGAACAGCATGCACATAATCACGTCAAAACGTGAGAAATGGTGCGCATATAATACCAGCACTGGCGGTGGCTTGTGGCCCCCTTACGACTGGTGGCGCCGCTAGCGGGAGCATCGAAGGACTCTGGTAGTAAATATAAATAGTTTGAACGTTGAAGGAGATACCTTTCGGTGGCTCAGTAATTAATACCTCGCAATCACCTCGCAAAGATGCCACGTTCGATTTGGCGCGCTGGAGTCTTTTTTTTTTAAATATTTTTCTTTGTTTCATATATATAATGTTTTCATATATATAGATACGTATACATATACGGTGCATGACCCTAATGATGAAATCCAGCCGAGTGTGTACATATAATTGCTATCGCAATAAAAAGTATTCAATTCGATTTGCACTCAGACTTGCAATATTTGAATTTAATTCACACCCAGAACTTTGCTAATCACACAACTCTGATTTTCATTCCTTCAAAACTACAAATTGTCATATAGGCTGTGGGGAAGCACGTGCGCCCAGCCACCCTTTCTCTTTTACGGCAACGTGGCATCCTAGCTGTGAGGACATGTCTGGCCCTTCGAGAAACGAGTCAATGAAGCCTCTTGCGAAAAAATGGGGCACCCCTCAACCGGCGCACGTGATTTCCTTTTCCCGGGCTCACAAAAAAGGTTTCTCCTATCTCAGCGAAGGAACAAACTCACGTCAGAGAGAGGGAAACCAAACAGTAGAGAAAACGAGCTTGTTGACGGCCGGGCGCTCTCTGGAACCGGCGACCAAGCAGGGAGGACGACCCTCAAAACTCTCTGCGAGCCAAGGACATCAACGATCAAGGCGTACACATCTACCCTTTGTTATCTGCCTAGAGCTGTAGTCCCTCTATGCGAGATTTACACGTTATTGCTACATTTACACATTATTGTTAACGTAGTAATACAGTGTTGTTTTGTTAATTTAGCCTGTTGCCTTATTCACCCGAACCCGTGTAGCTGCGATGACTCAAGCTACAGAAGGGGGACATTAATCGTGGACAGTATGACTGTGTGCGGCTGGAAGGTTAGCTAGGCTTCCATGTCAGCTGTACATAGGACGGAACCCATACAAGAGGCACACAAAACCTATCACGGCATTATTTTTGCCACAAACCCACACATGCTCTAGTGAAAAGTCTAGTGTGTGTAGAAGAAAATGCATCGTTGGCAAGCAATATCGCCACCGCTCGAGTACTGGTTGCTGGGCTTTTCTCGCTCGGCTCGTGCTGATCATCGCCGGTATCTGCTTTGACCGTTGCTCTTTCCCAATTGTGTTTTCATCGTAGGGCCACCGTCGTAACAGTTGCCAATAAACCCCTTTTCAATTGGTGGAGGGTGCTGACATTCCCCGTCGCCTAAACTTGGGTGCTGCCATTCGCGGTTGCCTAAACCTGGAGCTGCGCAACCGAACGCTACCTCCCATCATGGCCACCAACAACGCGCAACCTGGCTCTTCCACTCCATCCTCCAGCAACCCCGGCGTTCTTCGTTTGCGAGAGCCCAAGGTCTTTAGCGGAGCTGATGAGACCGACGTGAAAGACTGGTTCGCTAACTACGAACTGGTGA